ATCCTAAGTAGGGATAAGTCAACGCCTAACACGCGTCGCCGGTTTAGTCTTTCACCGATTGAAAAAGATACCAGAATCCAGTCTGGGGCATTTTATCCCGAAGCCTAAGTAGGGATAAGTCAGTGCTTAACCCGCGTTACTGGGTGGTTCGTTCCCATAAAAACGACCGAGTCTACATATTCAGCATCGTAGCAACAAAAATCCATGTCTTTTATGCATGGGGAATTTTATCCTGAATCCTGAGCAGAGATAAGTCAATGCCTAATACGCGTTACCGGTTAGTCTTTTGCCATGAAAAAGACAAAAGCCCACATATTCGACATTGTGGCAGGCCGTTATTAATAACGCCGAAATCCGCGCCTCACACGCGCGGGGAATTTTATTCCGAACCCTAAGTAGGAATAAGTCAACGCCTAACTCGCGTTGCCGGTTTAGTCTTTCACCGATTAAAAAAGACACCAGAATCCAGTCTGGGGCATTTTATCCCAAAGCCTAAGTAGGGATAAGTTAGCGCTTAACCCATGTTGCTGGGTGGTTCGTTCCCATAAAAACGACCGAGTCTACGTATTCAGCATCGTAGCAACAAAAATCCATGCCTTTTATGCATGGGGAGTTTTATCCCGAATCCTGAGCAGGGATAAGTCAACGCCTAACACGCGTTGCCGGTTAGTCTTTTGCCGTGAAAAGGACAAAAGCCCACATATTCGACATTGTGGCAGGCCGTTATTAATAACGCCGAAATCCGCGCCTCACACGTGTGGGGAATTTTATTCCGAACCCTAAGTAGGAATAAGTCAACGCCTAACTCGCGTTGCCGGTTTAGTCTTTTACCGATTGAAGAAAACACCAGAATTCCAATCTGGGGACTTTTATCCCGAAGCCTAAGTAGGGATATGTCAGCGTCTAACACACGTTGCCGGGTAGTCTATTCCCGTAACAATGGCGAAGTCTACGTATTCAATATCGTAGTATCAAGTCTAAGGGAGTTCATTCCTTTAGCACAACGTCACATGCGGAACGGACTTAAACAATCCGCATGCTAGCCCGACTCAAACGGTCGTCGGTAAAGGCACATCAAACCCGTTGAAGGCTGAGGGTTTGCCAAAAACCTTAAAGTCTACGTCTGATACACGTCGCTGTTTAGTCTTTTCACAGGAGAAAGACGAAGTCTACGTATTCAATATCGTAGCACTAAAAGAGTTAACTCTTTTAGCATAACGTTACATGCGGAACGGACTTAAACAATCCGCATGCTAGCCCGACTCAAACGGTAGTCGGTAAAGGCTTATCAAACCCGTTGATGGCTGAGAATTTGCCAAAAATTCTATAAATGCGAGTCATTGACGTATCAGCTTCATTAGTTGGTCTCATGACTTGAACATCCAACAAACTTCAGGATAAGATCCACACGTGCAGATGAATCAGCTTTAATAGTTGGTCCTGCAGCCCAACATTCGGGACCTTCACGCTCCAATGCCTTAAAAGCTTAAACTGTATAGACTCCAGCAAACGTACGAGTATAAACTGTGTTAACGCCGGTCAACGCGTTACAGTAAAGATCGATGACGGTCAACGCATCAGCAATTTCGTCAAAATAAGGCAAAAGATGACTCCAAGGATTTCAGTTACAATCAGATATGAATTCCCGACGGAGAGGAATAGTTCAAAGTCAACTCAATGGCACGAGCTAAGTTCAGAAACTTACACACCAATCTTAGTTCAAGATTTCGACAACGGTCAGACGATAAACGCAGCGCCGGAAGAACTTCATCTATTCGACGGAACAATGAATAGATTGAAGGCTGAAGAAGTTAAGAATTGAGGTAGTTAAAGGTCGCTCTACGAAATAGAGGAGATGACCTATCTTATGCAAAGCATTCCAGACTCCTCTATAAAAGAAAGAGTCTGAAATACTTTGGAGGGGGTATCTGTAGGCGTCTAAAAATGCCTATGGGTGCCCGCACACAGCTCAAGACAAAGAGAAGGTGATGAACGTCGTTATCCGAATCAAAGAGGATTATCCAACACCGACAAGCGCATGAAGCGAATCGACAAACTGTTGATGACACGACAACGAACCACCACAATGGAAAACGCCAAGTGGACTGCACGCGTTAATCAACTCAAAGCGTACAAACGCGCCCAACAGTCAGTTAACACGCACGCATCATTCAGCTCGTGCATGTCAATCAGTGCGCGCGTCAATCAGTTCATGATGGCGTCAATCAATGTACATTAATCAACTCGCGTGGAGCATACAAGTCAACACGACGGATGAGTAAACAAAACGGTCGAAACTACAAGTCCCGGAAGATCGGAAAAGTTGTAAAACACAAGAAATCAGCGAAACAAAAGATCTCAGCGCGCCGCGCGGGACGGACCAAACCGACCCGCGCCCGTGCGGGTCGGAATGATCCGACCCGCGCCGGCGCAGGTCGGAATGATCCGACCCGCGCTTGCGCGGGTCGGAAACAACCGACCCGCTCGGTTCCATCCGACCCGCACAAGCGCGGGTCAGACTTGTCCTGCGCGCGCTGTTTCGATCGGGTTCGGTTTTTGATGGTTTTTCTCGAGATTTGTTGGTTCCAGAGGTTCCCAACTGACTTGATATCATCTACAAACGTGGTTAGGCTGTTGTTAACTAAAGATAGAGCCAAATCACTTGTTCTCATCCAAATAACCACTTCCGGAGCCCTATAAATACAAACCTAGGGCCTCCTTTCAGCGGGGGCGATTGATTATCAAGACGAGGAGGTGCTGCCGGATTGTGGAGTCAAAGGAGCACGAATTTCAGCGAGGGTTGACAAATCTTGGCGAGTTCTTCGGCATAAAGAAGGAGAGTTCGAGAGATCCGACGCCCGTTCCCGTCCGTCCCTTGAGATTAGGCTTGGTCTTAATCTCGAGAAGAGCCCTGATTTCGCTTGGTCGATCTCAGCACTTCAAATCAAATACTTCCTCGGTGAAGACGAAGCTCTGCCGAATTTTTCATCAACCGGATCCAGATCAAAGGCGGTCCACGGATAAACCCCGGCATAGGCATAGATCCCACGCAAGCAGAAGACCGATAAACGATCTCTGCGTTTGTTTGATAAAGTTGTAAATTCCTTTTTTTATTTTCATTGTGTAAGGAGATCTTATACAAAGATCAACTTTTTATTTTATTCGAGTTTATTGTAACGACTAAAGTTGTAATAGATTCGATAGCAATGAAAATAGCAACTTTCGACGCAAACATACACTTCACCGATTAGCTTCATGCGTTTCGTGAACGCGCAAGTCTCTTGACGATGACTGACGGGCGTGCATGCCACTTGGTTCGCCGTTTCGCTGGCCGATGAGTGTACGGGCCGCTTGGAGCTGGCTGATGAGTGCGCGGGCAACATAGAGGTGGTCGGTGAGCGCACGGGCCACTTGGTTCGCCGTTTCGGTGGCCGATGAGCGTGTGGGCCACTTAGCGGTGGCCGGTGAGCACGCGGGCCACTTGACGTTGGCTGTTCCGGTGGTTCGTCACCACATCATTAATGGTTCGCCGATTCATTTCATGCGCTTGTCGGCATCAGATGATCCTTTTTGACTCGGATAATCCTCTTCGACTTGGATAATGACGGGGCAACATGGAGGTGGCCGGTGAGCGCACGGGCCACATGGTTCGCCGTTTCGATGGATGATGAGCGTGTGGACCACTTGGCGGTGGCCGGTGAGCACGCGGGCCACTTATACGTGTGTGTGTATATATATATATATATATATCGGAAACTAAAGGTATTTGAAATTGAGCAGCTAACTGCAAATTGACATGGATACAAATACTTTTAATCAAGAAGGTAGAAGAATTAGTTATATGGGATTCCGATAGTCAAGTCCCTAAAAAGTTGTCACATGTACATCCAAAGCTTTGTAACTGAGTATATTGTATAGATATAAATAAATATTGCAGATAAATATGGTAAATTTCGCAAAAACTTACTTCAACTTTGGGAGGGTTCCAAGCATGAAACTCATTTGACCTTCCCACCAACCCCCGTGAATTTTAAGATGCCTCTATGTAGACTTTCAAATTTTCAAATTTTCCTAAGGAAGCATGACTGCTCATTTGGTATGCAAAAATCAGGTCAAGTGAGGATGGAATGGAGTGAGAGTGAGAATGGAATGCTTATTTCTATTTTCATGTTTGGGTGTGATTAGATGACAAAGTGGGAATGAACTTCTGTTTTTATTTTCAGTATGGATAGTTAATAAAAATTTTGAAAATATTTGATATGTATATTAATTTAAATTTTTTTCGTTCTAACTTAAAGTGGAAATGCCCTACTAACTAATTGGGAATATTCACTCCCACAAAATATGGGAATGAAAGAGAAGCGGAAATGAGCATTCTAGCCTTCCAAAAGAATGATACATTCGGTATGTATGAATGAGAAGTGGGAATGAGCATTTCATTCTCACTCATTTCCTCCTACCACACGACCTATACAATAGTGACGGCCCACCACCGGTTTTTTCAGACTAGTTTGTTGATCCATTAACACTTTCACGAGGGTCAATGGAAATTTTGGAAGTTTAGAGAGATTCTTGTGAGATGCATTGACATTTAACTATATTCGCTTAAAGGTCACTTACCAACATATGTAAAATTAGATGAAAATTGGGACTAAATTGTCAGGTTCCACCAAGACAAGTTTTTCATGCACCAACTCAACTCGCAAAATCCTAGCTATAAACCTCCAAAAATAAAAATGTGGATGTCAGTAACAGATCAGGTAATGAATAATCAACAACAATCCATATACTGTAACCGCATGATCACTATTAGGAATAATATGTGGAAGTCACTTAACTGG